TGGATTAAAAACTGTAGTAGCAAAAGGCGAACACCCGAAAAGTAATGGATTGAATGGTAATCCTGACGAGGCTGCTATATTTATCGCTTCTTGAAAAACTGTTAATTCATTTGGACACGAAACAGAAGAAGATAAATTTTGAAGAGAAATGTTTGGACGACACAAATAATTTTGGTGATTAATCGGTAGAGATGGTTGAGTGTTTTGTGATGGAAAAACAGAAAAGATTTTAGATGCAGATTCATCCGATGAAGCCATTGCAGCCGAACAAAGGTAAGATAGTATTGAATTCTGAAATGGAGGCTGAAGAACTGTAACATTCGGAGGTGGCTGTTTATTGCATTCCATATTACGTTTATTGGAATGATGAGAATGAAACTGAGTATTCGAATGGTTGTCTTTGCTAGATGAATCGTTAAAGGGTGACTTCGAGAAAGGTCTTGGACAGCTTTTTGTGTATGATTCGTTTTTTAATTGAAATCTTGGAGAATTTATTGAGTCTAGAGAATGTGATGAAAACTGATTTGGTGTTGCCATTAAGTTTAAATTGTTCATAATTTGTTGGCTTGTTTTATCAGTAACACAGGAGTTGCACCGATAAGAACTTGGTGATAGAAAGTTGTTTGTGCTGGCAGTTTGGTTAAATATTTCATGGTTTTCCGTAAAATACTGTTTGTGCCGAATGATAGTTGGTGAAACAGTTCCCGTGGGTCGATGCTCTGATTGGCCGACATGCTTTTTTGGAAGTAAAACCTTTCTTGAAATTGAATCTGAAGAATCAAGATCTGAAAGAAAAATTTCAATTTTTGCATTAAGTTTGAATTTATTTAAATAAACTAGCAATCAAATATTTTACTAACCCACGTTTGTATTATTTTCATCTTCGATAAGTGCAGCTTTTTTATCACTCTCTAGTTCTTCTTTTACATCTTTCTTTCCAAATTCAATTCCAGAACTTTCGGAAGAATTTTGTGATGCATAAGGAAATGTTTTGCTACAATTTAAGTTATAACTGTCTTTCGATATTTCGATATCTGTTGTTTTATTATCGTCGGAGCCTTCAGATTTATCGCAATTCGTTTTGGATTCAATTTCAATTTTTTGGGCAACGTCAGAATTTGAGTTAACATTTTCATTCAGCACAAACAAATTTTCTTCAGTTGTTGGCTTTTCATGTGCGATGATTTCAACTTTTTCATTTGACTTTTGTATAAAATTATATTCAGAACCATCATCGCAGTCGTCATCATCTACACATATTTCATCATCACTGCAGTCACTGGTGTCCTCCTGCGATATTATCTGTTTTTTAGTGCCATCATCAAACTCATTGTTGAATTTATTAAGGCGTGGCGAAGAGGATGAATCTCTAGAATCCTCTTCATTTTTTCCATTTCCTTGCAGTTTTCTTTACAACAGGAAAATAATAATGTTAATATGTCAAACATTAATTTAATTATGTAACAAACTTTTTTTCACGTTTCCCACCCCCAGAGTCTCGGAAACCTTTTGCAAAAGGATTGTTGTCGATTTTCAGTTGAGTTATCTGAAATCAAATAGAAATAATATTATAGAAAAACTTATTAGTTTTATTATTGAAGCAAGTAAAACTTACTTTTTCATTCTGATAAGCAGTGACAGCAATGAACTCGGTTTCCTTGAACACATACGTTCGAAATGGACAATAGGGTAACTTCATGATGTCGTTTGTTCGAACCAAGTGGAAACGTGGTTGATATTTTTGCATGGAATTTAATATTGTCTGTTGCATACATTTAATAAATAAATTGTATTTATTTATCTATTCATTATAATTGTATTCACTCTTTACAAACAAATAGTAAAAATAGAAAATCAAATTGATAAAATTATTTGACATTACATATAGGTTTAAATAAATTTCAAATATTGAAGAAGTTGAGTAAATAAAAACGTTTTGCTTAAAAAACCGCAAATGCACTTATTGTGAAATTAAAGCAACAATAAAACATGTTTAGATTCAGAAAATACTGTGAGGAACTTGGTCGATACGTTATTTAATATAAAAAAATAATCACATATGGTTACAGTATTCGAGAACCAATTGATAGTGAAATAATTACACAACGAAACTAAAATAGATAGAATTTTGATGTAAAATTGTTTGAAAAAAATTCGAATTGAAAATTAATAAATACATGAGATTCGTGCAACAATATTTAATGGCAAACGTAAAATGGGTAATGAGTAAGATTGGAGTTGAGAAGTGACTGAAAGACAGTAAGATGTGCCCTATGTGCAAAAGAAAAAATAGGGATAAAATTTGAAAATGAGGGGAGAAAGTGATTTAACGTTTAGGTACGCTTGCATCAAAGGTCAGCTTGGAGTCTATTACATTTTATTAGAGTAATGACCTTTTAATGAAACATTGGTCATAAAAATTAAAAGGGTCTACGTTGGAGCTGCTTGGTTCTGACTGTTTAAAACTGCCGGCCAAAATAAAAAGTAATCAAAAGAGAAACTTACAAAATAGAAAAATTCGTAAAAAAGAGATTAAAAGTAAATATAACGAAAGGTAAAGTGATTGAAGTCGATAAAAAATTATTTAGACAAGATCAAATCAAGTGTAGCGTAATATCGTGTACTATGTGTAGCAAAGAAACTGGAAAGAGGCTTTTGCTCAAGCTTTAATAAGTTGACTCGTAAACGTAAAAGTTGTAGAGAAGTAAAAAAGTATATCAATGTTTCATTGTGCATTCCTATACAGGCGCTTTTTGAAGGTAGGAAAGAAGAGGGTGAGGCGAAATTGATGGTAAAAAGAGGCATTTCATTTGAAAAAGTGAACTTGTACTGCCAGTGTCATGTTTTGCAAGAAGGTGGATGGTGCTTATTTGCCGTATGCCAATTTTTGTCTACATCTTTTATTCTATTTGTATGCAGTTGCAGGGTGTAAGTCTCGTGATGCAATGTCTAAGTCTCGTGATGCAATACTTTGTGTCTATACCTCGTTCATATTTGTCAAATGTTTAAAGGTGCTAATAAGGATCCTGAAAATATTTAAATCATAGAACGATCGCACAAACAATCGTTTGACAAATAGTCAGCAGTGAGAATGAGGTTGTAGGAGGAAGCAGACAAGTTTCGAAATATTTTGACTGATTAGTTTTTTCAGAATTTTATTGCGAAAAATGAGCCTGTGGCCAGCTTGGCGTGCTAGAAAAAAGAAAATACATGAAATAAAAATTCATATTTAAAAATTAAGCGAAAACTTTTTTAAAATTATGCGAAACTAAAAAAAATTAATAAAAGTTTGCCAAATGGTGTGCGAATGGCTTGCGTTAATGAATTAAACAGTCAGAATTTATTAAAGGTATCTGATCATTTTTTAAATCCGTTCAACTGTACAGCAGATCAAAGGAAGATCGACGATTTAACAACGTAAACAAAAATTGACTTCGGATAAAAAACGGCAAGACTGAGACGTGCGTCTTCTTATACTTTTAACAACTAACGATGATTTTGTTAGGAATCCATGAAAATAATTAACCTATTCAATTCAATCATTCTGTAGAAAAATTTAAAAATATATTTCGACTTTTTATTAGTCATTATTTGAGATTTTTTTTTTATTAACATGAATGTAAAAAGACAGATTTAAAAATGATTTTAACATTTCGAAAGTACGATAAGATGTGTGTTTATGTTTGAAAACGTTGTGAATCAAAAAATAATTGTTTAGAATAAATAGATGCACATGGAGTTTTATTGACAATGTGTGCTTGTGTGCTTAAATACACGTTAATGTTTTGTCCATGTTGATTTGCGCGTGTATCATGCGTTGATTTATCATGTATCGATGTATCACGTATTGATGTATAATGCATTGATATATTTGTATTGATGTATTATGCATGTGAAATGTAGATCTGCATCAATTAGTTTTGTTTTTCATCCAACGATAAGAACCAAAATCTGTAAAATTATGGACCGTAGAAGTGAACATAATTTAGAACAGTTATACTTATAACAAAACAAAGATTGTATTTATGTTTTATCGGAGATATTGAATTAATTAAAAGTATCAAATATATTATTAATTTCATAAAGAGTTTTGTTAAACAATTTTTTTCATTCTTCTGGGTCCCTTGAGTTCCGGAGACCCTGGCTCAACGAACCTGCCCCCACGCCACTGTGTGTCGTGTATTTTTATATCATGCAATGATGTATTTGTATTGATGTATCATGTATTGATGCATCATGTATAATTGAATAAAATAAGCAGACTCACCCAATGGAATTTGGCATGTGTCTTATTCATCCAATCAAAAACTCCTTCATGTAACTGTAGAATGATGATAATGTTGATGATGATTACGATGATGTTGATGATGATGACGATGATTTTGATTATGGTGATGATGTTGTTGATGATGATGGTGGTGGTGATATAACATTTGCATGCTTATGGTGATGACAATGATGATGAACTTCACGTTGATTGGCATTGACTGAACCATGTTTTCATTATCTCGTTAAAACTTGAATTTTAATTTAAATACAAATTTATCCTACCTACGTTAAATGGTTTTAATCCGGTGACATTACAATGTGTAGTGTTCTAATGCAGCATATAAATAAATTACATCAACATAATTGTTCCAATCACATCAACATATCGTTGTGTATTTCAGGCATTCATGATTACAAAGCCAGAATTAAATTCCAATAAATATTGAAATAAATAAAGTAATTGAGCAAAAATGATTCGAGTAGTTTGTTAAACATTCTGAAGTTATTTCAACAGTCATCGATCAAATCGTTTGTAGCTCTATAAGTTGTAAGCTGATGAGAACCATATAAATACCTTTACGCCGAATTACAATTATCCCTTGAAAACAAATTTTCAATTTTAAAAACGTCTTCATATTTTTGTTAGACATTCTTCTGTTTAGTACACGCACGTATGAAATGGTTACAACAAAATTACTGTTAAAAATTATCGGTCACTTTGTTGGATGGGATTATTTTTCAAACCTCATTAGAAATTTAATTTGCAGAACAACGAACCGCCAGCCTGTGCAGTCTAATTAGATATTTATTTCACGAATTTTATTTTAAAAAAATAATTATTATTCAGAATTAATTTTTACAAATCAAAGTTTTTATAAACTGTAGGCGTACATTATAATCGTACAACGTAGAAATCTTGCAACGTAGAAACATCTGCAAGTGTAAAGCGCAGTGCACAACATGTACTTCCTACATTTCAACATATAAATATTTGCAAATGAAGCACGTTGGCCACAGATATTAATCTGTCCCATGATATTTTCAAAGTCACGGTCCACAAACAAAGCGTTCAATTTGGCATTACATGCCAGCAGCATCCTGGCCTGAATTGATGTTTTGAAAATTTATTGCATGTGCAATAACCACCACATTCACATATTTACATATCCATGCATGTCTTGACAAAGGAAAAAGTTTTTAAACGAAAAATTTCTTTCTCAAATCAATATCATTACGGAATGTTTTTTTAATTTTTGAATGATTTAAAAACAACATTTGAAAACATTTATCATTTTCATCATCATATCAAAACTATTGCCTTTGAGTCAAAAAAAATTATTGCGCTCTCTCTCTCTCTCTCTCTCTCTTTCTCTCTCTCTCTCTCTCTCTCTCTCTCTCTCTCTCTCTCTCTCTCTCTCTATTACTTTCTCAACGTATTGTTAGAAGTTGTTATGCAACAAAACATCATTATTAAAATTTCATGGTCACTATCCAACAATAATCGTGTCTTTTTCTCTTCCGAAAAAACTTTGTTTCGAACATGATGAACACGATGAACATGATGAACATGAGGGTGATGGCGAGTTTTGTTAACAAAACCATACGTTTAACAAACAAGTGTGTGTGTGGTTTGCGTGTGTGTGTGTGTGGTTTGCGTGTGTGTGTGTGTGTGTGTGTGTGTGTGTGTGTGTGTGTGTGTGTGTGTGTGTGTGTGTGTGTGTGCGTGGGTATGTTGTGTCCAATTTGTGTATAATTATTTGCACGTTCTAATTAAAATTAGATAAATATTATTGGATGAGAAGAGTTTGTGAATTAATAACCATTGTATTTCTGCATTGTAAAAACGTTTCAATGTGTCAAACAGCAAGTTAGAGGAACGATTAATTGAAAAGTTAATTAGGTGAAAACTTACGAAGCCGTGTTTGTCGGAAATGTTGTTTGTAAGTTTGAGTTTGTGGAAAGACACGATTTTGTTCATCCACTGTTCGCCAGTAGCCGGCGAGTCAGGATGTATGTACATTCTTTTTGGCATTTCAGGATCAGCCTTGCCGGACACCATCCATCTGCTGTTGTGGAACTTGTACCTGCAATCGTCCACAGCCACGATGTCCACCAGCATGATGTACTTGCTTCGCTTCTCCAGACCCGAGATCTTCACTTTGAATGGTGGAAACATTCGCCTGTCGATCAGTTTGTGGTTCGTGCAAGTTTGCATAGATAATTGAGCACAGATACAAAAACATCAGCTGACAGATGGTGCAACGTTTTGTTTATTTGTGTGTATGAGTGTGTGCAAACATTTCATTACAAGTTATTATTATTATATATATGTATATATATATATATATATATATATATATATATATATATGTGTGTGTGTGTGTGTGTGTGTGTGTGTGTTGTGTGTACGTGTGTTTGTGCGTGTATGAATGCATGACAAAATCTCCCAAAATCTCGAAATATATTCCATAAAACACGAAAATGAAAATCCTCACAAGAACCTCGTGATTCATGAACGAACAATCAACTAGTTTACCTCTTCAAACTTCTTAACGAACAACTGGAAGTGTATTGTTTCACATCGATGTGTTGTCATACATGCTAAGGAGCAACTACAATGACAATGCTGGATCGCCAGTTTTTTACTTTGAACAATCTTGCCAAATATATCACACTTTTATACCGCGGAAAAAATACTTCTTCGCTTGCTTCAATCAAAATCCCATAATAAATATTCAAATCCATATTAACTAAATGCGGGTGTTAAATTTTTGAATGCGTTGGAGTGACTACAACAGAATGCACTAAGGGGTAATTTGACCCTGCAGAGCCAAAATGAAAGCCACCCGCAACACTTCAATCACACGAGAAACTCTCAACAAGACTAGACAACGTCTATCGATACAATTATTCACTCATATTGATCATTTCATTTTAAAATTTGTACATCGAGAAAAAATTGCAACTGCATTCACGAAAACGCATTCAACATTCTGATTAATGTAAGTAAGTGTAGAACGCATACGTGTGTATGTTGCGAATTTCTTTATAATTCATTCAATTTCTTCATTATTTACACTTGTTTTTTCTTTATAATTATTAAAATGATTAACGTTATAAGTTACAGCCAGAACATTGAACTAGATCATATCCTGTCCATACGAAGAATTATTATAAATATAGAAAGTTCAATAAGAAATTCAGCATCGCATTTTTAATTATATCATAGATTTTTTTTAGCTTTCTATCAAATTTTCGTCATCATCTTTTCGATTATTTTGGGTATCTACAAAAATTATCATCGTTTTGTCGACATCTTGTTGTTTTTTCAGAATATCAAATACTTTAATCACTCAATAATTTTAAACTTTGATTCGAAGTAAGGTTAGCCAAAATCAAATCTTAACTAAGCTTCTTTTTAACGTACATAAACACAAATGTTTCTTAGTAACAACTGAACCAGCAACCAAGATTTCCATTGAAAAATTATCGTAAAATCAATCTTCACACTAACTAACTTTGCAAAGCATTTTATAATACGCTGCTTAAAATCAAAAAATGACATGAACCTGATAGCTGAACGATATATGTAGAAGCAAGGTAGAATATTTTGCATTTTTATTTATTTATTTAACACAATTTTATTAATGGAGACCTGAAGCAATGCTTGTATGGCCACCTCCAAAAAAAAAAAAAAAAAACAAAAGCAAAAAACATAACGTAATATGATCAGAAATAAACAAAACACTATATAACATAATTAGCAAAAAGAGATGTTGCAAAACTGAAATTGTTCAATTTACTTTAACATGAAAATTTCTAAAATTAAAGTTCTAATCAATTAAATTATAATTTTAATGTTCATAATATAAAAACCAGAGTGTCATGAAAACATATTGATAAAATATAAATGATATTTAACATAAACTTAAGTTTTATATATTTAATTAAACAGCCGAAAAATATCCAAAATTTAACAGTATAATTATTGATTTCTTAAACTTATTTATGCTAGACAATAATTTTATATTAGAAGACAAGGAGGACCATAATTTAATACCATATATAAATAAAGAATTAGAGAGCAGATCAGTTCTTACAGTTGGAACATAAAATTCAGGGGTATGTCTAGTTTGTCTCTTAACAATTGAGTTAGATTTAATAATAAATTTATGGAAATAACTATACATTTTTAACTTAACCATTTTATAAACAAATATTAAGATTCTCAAAATGTACAAATAATTAATTGATAAAATACCAGATTTTTTGAAAAAATAAGCTATATGATCAAACATATGAAGATTATATATTATTCTTATAAAATAATTTTGACACCTAGTAAGGATTAATATATGTGATTTTGTATTTTTACCCCAAACGATGATGCAATAAATAAAATAAGGATAAATTAATGTAAAATATAAATTTAATAAAATTTTTTGTGGAAATGTTTGTCTTAGTTTATTTATAACACCAAGCCCCCTAGAAATTTTTTTTGAAATATCCAGAATATGTTCCTTCCAATTCAAATTACTTGAGAGTGTTACACCCAAAAATTTTATCGAATGAACTCTAGGGATTAAGTTATCATCAATAAAAATTTCAAAATTTATCAGGTTAGTAACAATAGATGGACTAAACAGAATACATTTGGTCTTTGATAAATTTATCTTCAATTGATTGAATTTCATCCATGAAGAAATTCTAACTAATTCCTCATTTAACGCTTGAGTTAACTCGATTATAGATTTACCATTCAATAAAATCGTTGTATCATCTGCATATAATATGAATTTTAAGCGTGATGATGAATTCGTTAGATCATTTAAAAAAATGTTAAATAAAAGTGGTCCCAAGATGGAACCTTGTGGAACATCACATTTGATGGAACGAAGTGAAGAAACTGAATCACCCATTGAAACATATTGTGTTCTGTTACTTAAGTAACTTACAAACCATTCATAAGTGGAACCTCTAATACCAACATTAAGAAGTTTCTTTAACGATAAGTCATGTCTTACAGTATCAAACGCTTTAGATATGTCCACAAACACTCCAATAGCCAAATCCTTAGATTCAATACTATTCAAAACATATTGATTTAAATCCAATATAGCTAATTCAGTAGAACAATTTTTACGGAAACCATATTGTCTATCACTAATTAAATTAAAATTATTTAAAAAATTGGATAAACGATGCTGGACAACTTTCTCCATAATTTTAGAAAAAGTAGAGATTATGGTTATAGGTCTATAATTATTTATTAAATCACGAGAACCAGATTTATATAAAGGGATGACTTTTGACGTCTTCAAACAATTTGGAAAAATACCCTTCTGCAAAGATAGGTTTATACAATGGGTTAAAGGTTTAAGAATTGATAATATCGTTTGTTTGTTTCATTACACAAAACAGGATAAATGATAATTATTAATATAAATAATAGAGCCTAAACAAGTTAAAAACACAACACTATATAACTTTAACAGAACATGGATATAAACACTTAATCCTAGAGTGACCGGAGCAAATAATATTAAAATCTTTTTATAATAAATTGACAATTTTTTTTATTCTTAAATCATCATCATCATCACCGTCACCATCATCGTCACCATCATCATCATCGTCACCATCATCATCAACAATCACAAAAACAACAACAACATCGTCACCATCATCATCGTCACCATCATCATCAACAATCACAACAACAACAACAACAACATCGTCACCATCTTCCTCCTCATCATCATCCTCATCATATTCTTTGCCTCACATCATACAAATTATTTATGGACCAACTGCATATCTTGTAGCGACCTGGCTGACTGTCTGGCTGAGTTCGTGCGGTTCGAAGACATTCTTCATTGAAGCATGCTTCTTATTGCTCCATCCCATTGCAAAATATTTTATCGATTTCTTTTTTTTAAAGTTGAAATATAAGCTCTTCCTCTTCAGTTTGACAGTTGGTCAAGATTTGTTTGCTAATTTTCATTATATTATTCAGCAGAAATGTATTTTTCATCATTGCAATTAATTCGAAATAGTCCTGTCAACAAAACTTTTCGAGGATAATTCACGTGAGTGCGATGCAAAAGCAAGTTGCGCTATTGATTCAGCGGTGTTTGAATTTTAATGTCTCAACATCAGTTTTTTATTGACAAATGAACGTGAAGATGCACTTAACAACGCCTCGCATGCTTCTCAGAAATATCAATCGTTCCTAATTTATTGTAATTTATACATTATCACGTGCCTCTTGCAAGCGCTTTTCATTGCATGTGTATATATATATATATGTATGTATATGTATATATATATTATTTAAGTCTGTATATACATATAGAATTATTTATTTGTTTATACGCTATAACGCTAGTGCGTATACACAAACGATAGATTTTAAAATGAATTTATACATATATAACTTTTAAATTTAACTGATAAATTATGGCAGAATGGATGGTGTCGTTCAGCATCAGGCGTATCTTGTTAGAGAGTTTATAAAGAAATTTATTCTGCAATAAATTATAAACTTGTTAATGAAATTTTTATAATTGTAGATGTTTTTTAAGCTTTATTTAACCCGAGCAGAATTTAAATTTCAACACGAATTCATTTAAAATTAATTATAAATTAATCATAAATCAAAATTAATTATAAAGTTTTAGAAATTTTCTCGTGACACCGTTTTTCGTGAATGTCAAACATCTTACTAATTGCAAACCCTGAAAATCTTACGTCGTTTCTTGGCAGCGCAATGCTACTACACGCAATACGTTCAGCGAGTACGATGATGTTTAACATTTGAAATGTGCTAACAGTACACATTTCACTCACGCTCCTAATCCCAAGGAGAACGTTGATGATAATACATCAATATCAAAATTTGAACATCTCAAAATTTACAAATTCCAATTGATAACTGAGTTCTAGTATGATAAGTGATAACATAGTTCTATTAAAAATTATGTAACAAAGTAAAAAAGGAACGGTACTGCGACAAGTGACGTCCAATTTTAAGCCAGATTTTTATTTTTTTAGGAAAATTATTTACTATTTAGTTCTATTCAGTTCTAGCCATTAATTAATTAAATGCAATAATAATGTCGTTGATTTAATTACTTGAACAGCAGGCATTCGATATTACATTTGTGAAAATAAAATTATAACGACCAATATTTTGTGTAAACATTAAGTAATGATGACTAATTTGAGTTAAAAAAATGCCAAAATGTTAAAAAAAATAATCTAATCGTTCAATTTTCCAAGAGAAAATGAAATCAATATTTTACGTCTCAAAATATCTTCTAGAAAAACTCATAAATCAAAAGGTAATTGCACGATTCGCAAAACATTTCGAACTCAAAACTGGTTTTTACCAGACGTCCAAAATTTATTGAAAGGCAGTAACAACGATAACGGTCTTGGAAAGAATTGCCTAATTTTATTTAATTCGATTTTAATAGAAAATAATTCTAGTTCACATGCCTTCATGTAAACGTAAGATGCAGGAGCATGAAAATTGAATCTAAAACCGGCCGTAGTTTTTTTTTACTTTTAACGTTCAATTTTAAGAATGATTGACTTGGACAAAATATTGGATAGATTTGCATTACTTCTCAAAATATCAAACATAGTATAAACACATTTAATTTTCTTAAATAGAAAATATCCATCAAATGTTTGATTTCATTGTTTTATTTAATCTCTGAATTACTCAATCTAAAAATTACTTTACCTTCAATTTGTCATCAAATTTGATAATTTGTCAGCTAATCATTTGTAAATAAGAAGAAAGAATATTAACATCAATTGTAGCAAACATATCAATCATAAAAGTATAACAAACAAATCAACTTATTTATATTTTTATTGAGAAGATGATTGAACTAGATATGATATATAAACGCCTGAATGCTGTGAAGACGATACATTGAAGGGAAGGAGTCTGACGCTGTAATACGAAACAGCGCATGCATGAAGTAAGTAAGACTGGTTTTACGTATAATATAACAAATACAGGATATCATACGCTCTATAAAGCTCTACGGTATTTGTAAAACTCAAGGATGTGCTATTGCACCAGATTGTTCAATAAACGTTATGATTAATGTGTTGCATAACTGATTAACATCCTATAATTTGAAAGCCGATTCATCAAAACAAATGTTAGTTAAAATATACTGATTTGTTTCAACAAGTTAGGACTATATGTAGTGTGGACGTTTTTCACCAAGTCCTGACTTTCAGCGGCTTTTAGATTTAGGGTATTAAATTATGTACCTCCAACAGATTGGTTGTTTCATTTTACAAATCTGTTCGAACTGAATACGCCACATGAAATTATAAACTAATTTACCCATCATCTGTCGTTTTTAATTTAAACCAAAGTTAATTTTTATTCATCGTCCCTGTTTACATGCAATGAAATACATAAAAAATTTCACTCTTCACTAGGATATTGATGAAATTTGAACATTGCCGCAAATAGCGTTCGCAGTGAACTTTCTAATTGTTGTTTGCGAAAGCGTGAATCGATGGTTTTATTTACATAAAAGACGAGAAATGTGAACTGCATAATGTTTTTAACTAATATTAATGTAGTCAGTTTTTATTGAAGATGTGTTATTTCAAAAATCTAACATTTTCCCAGTAAATTATCTAACTGGACTCATGATCCCAGTATGTAGGTAATCCGCAAAAACAAATGAAATATTTATTGATAAATACGATACTTTCATAGATGTATTATATTTATTTATATTTATATATTTATATATTTATTTATTTCTTTATTTATTTATTTATTTAAGTACCTCTTTCTGACGCTATATACAAAAGCTTTGAAATTTAAAATGTTGATACAATTTATAAATATTCGTTGACACAATGATACAACGTTCGTTGACTTTAGACACATAATTTAATGCATTTTATTTAGGAGGCAGTCTAGAGGAAGTTAACGAAGGCCAAAATTTGGTGGGGAAAACTTTCTACTCAGAACAGTGTTTCGTATGTAAAAATTAGGTTTTACAGATTTAAAAAATACTGCTCACAATGGGCCATGGTTTCCCAAGCTTCCTAATTTCGGCCTTGCATTTATTATCTCGATAGATAATAACGCAAACTAAGATGTTTTAAAGCACTTTACAAAAACAGTGAAAGCCAGTGCAGTTCTGTGAATAGTTTCAAGGAGAAAGGATGCCCAGCCGGATTGTTGATATAATTGGATGCCATGAGAGGCGTGGCAAAGCGGTGAGTTGCAATAGTCAACACTTGCAAGAATCAGACCCCGAGCAATAGCTGAAGCAATGTCCTGGAAAATGTCCTATGTGAGAAATGGTTCTTCTGTAATTTTTGCATGATTTAACAATGTTGGAGACGTGATCGTCAAACGTTAAGTGGCTATCAATAAACAATTTTATAAAATTATTAACGAGGAAGTGCGAACCGGCAGTGTTTATGCTTGTTAAGTGTTGGAATATATGATGTTGCAGTTTGGTACAAATAACCAAGTTTCCGCATTTATCAGAATAAGTTGAAAAAAAAATTTGATACAAACTCCAAATGTAAACTCTTTGAGAACTTGGTGAGATTATTCATTTTGAGGAAGATAGGGATATATGAAGATGGGTGTCTCAACATATAGGTCAGATGTCAGATATTTAAAGAACGTTGTCTATTGGAGATATGACTTGTAAAAAGAAATCCACCGAAGACAGATCCTTACAGTATTTCAACATTAAACACAATGTTCCTTAATTAAAGATTTCATGACCTACGGCCATCTTTCTTGTGGGTACGACAAAATCCATTCACCAGCCTGTCCCCTGATTCCGAATTCAAATCAGCAAAAAAATCAAGGCTGCAATAATGAACCTTTGGTTGTGGTAAGGGACACTAGCCCTCTTACCTTCTGTTGTGTGTGTGTGTGTGTGTGTGTTAATATGTGTGTGTGAGTGTGAATATGTGAGTGTGTGAATATGTGTGTGTGTGAATATCTGTGTGTGAATATATGTTTATATAAATGTGTGTGTGTGTGATTTGTAGGTGTGTATGCGGGTATGTATATTCGTTCGATGATGCTCGTACGTTCGTATGCATGCGTGTACTGTACAACATCGTTGCTGCTCTTAAAGGTCTGCACTGGCGAGATAGCCAATGAGAACTCTTTGCATACGTCATATATATTTATTCTAATGTTATATACATTTGTAAAAAAAATTCATGAATAATAATTCTTTTGATACATTGAATATTCATTTGATTTAAATGAATAACTTTTATCTATCTATTCATCCATCCATTTAGCTCTCTCTCTCTTTCTCTCTCTCTCTCTCATTCTCTCTCTCTTTGACAAGCTATATATTCGTCTAATCTATCCATCTATCCAATCATCCATCCATCCATTTATTCATCCATCCATCCATCTATCCATTCATCTATCTAACCACACATCAATTGATCTATCTATCTTTCTAACTAGTCATCCAACCGTCTATCTATCCCTCAAGTCATCTATCTGTTATCTATCCATTTATTTAATTTTATATCTTGCTATCTATGTTTACATACATACAACCAGCTATCCTATTCATCAAGCCATCCATTCATCATGCATCTATCTACATCTTATCCATTTAATCATCCATTTTTATCTTTTTATCGATACATCTTACTTACTTATTTATCCAAGCATGTATCTATCCATCCATCCATTCATTCTTCCATCTATTCAAATAGTCATCGATCACTCATATTTATCTCTGTCTACTTAACCATCAATTCATAACAGTCATCTATCCAATCTATCCATCCATCTTTGTTATTCATCCATCAGTTCTTCCATTTATCCATTTATTTTTTATCCATCTGCTTTATCCTTTATCAATACATTCAGTCAGCTTTATATTTCATCCATCCATTCATCCATCCATCCACCAATCCATCCCTCCATCCATCCATCTACCCATCAATCCGTCAGTCTATCAATTTTATATTCTCTCAGCACTAACCTAACAGACACTACAAATGTCTGCTAGCTGTGTTCCTAATTAATTGAACTAAATAGGCAGTAAAACAATGGCAAAAAACTGTCTTCTTTATTACACACACACAGACACACACACAGACACACATACACTCACAAACAGATAAATATATATGTATATATATGCTTGTGTGTGTGTGTGTGTATGTGTGTGTGTATGTGTGTGTGTGTATGTGTGGTCTGTGTGTGTGTATGTGTGTGTAAGCTAACATGAAAGAATCATATACCCATCCATATTTTACATAAAATTAAATGTTCTGTCAAAAAATAACAAAGATAACAACAACAATATATGTATGTATTCTTGTACATATGTATCTATCTAGGTCGGTATGTACGTACGTACGTATGTATGTATGTATGTATGTATGTATGTATGTATGTATGTATGTATGTATGTATGTATGTATGTATGTATGTATGTATGTATGTATGTATGTATGTGTGTGTGTGTGTGTGTATGTATGTATGTATGTATGTATGCATGCATGTATGTATGCATGTATGCATGTCTGTGTGAATTGATACACATGATTATTTAGAAACATGGACATAATAATAGGACAAAAACAATTGACAAATAGCGTCTAACAATAACATTTAAAATTTCGAATGATTTGCATGGGCAGAGATGTACTGTACATAAATTTGTACGTCAGTGAATGTGGCAGTTATAAAAATATATTGACCAGTCGTTGTACATCGTAGTATAGTTTAATAATAATAATAATAATAAATTGTTAATAATAAAAATATTGACCAGTTGTGGTACATCATATTATAGTTTAATAATAATAATAATAAATTGTTAATAATAAAAATATTGACAAGATGTGGTACATCATAGTATAGTTTAATAATAATAATAATAAATTGTTAGTTAATGTTAACAGATGCTCCTGTCAAATTTTCCCCAACTGTATCTTGCCCGACGCATTTTTCAACGTTTGTCAGTTAATCAATTGTCACCGTTCACTTGATTTGCCCGATTGCTTTGAAGTTTTAGCAATTATTGAATACGTAGGCAGCACACTTCGATAGGCAGGTTATCATAACATGTCCACTCAATTTTCAATGATACGAACTCTGCCAACCACACCCGTACCTAATTAATATTAACAATTTCCTTAAGAAGCTCGGACAATCGTTATACAAAATAAATACAAATAGAAGCAACTAATAACATATTCGAGCCAACCAACCTGCCAGATTTCGTTATGACCATCTCAGTGCCCAGTTCATGAAACTGTTCCCAGAGCTCTTTCGATTCTAACTCCACTTTGGGATCATCCTGCAAGTTAGAATCAACGTCCACATTCCTCAATTGCCTGCTGTTAACCAGCGCGTGTTGGTGGGAGTGCTGGAAGTGCTGGTGCAAGTTCGACGGTAGAAGAAATTGATCCTGCCTATTTGCTGAATATAAATCAGGTGGTTGCAAAGAAAATTTATTTGGATACAATCCCGGAGGTATATGAAGTGGTATGTGTGGCTGCTGCTGTTGCTGCTGCTGTTGTTGTTGTAGCTGGTGGTGGTGGTGGTGTAGATGGGAGTTCAGCTCTTGATGAGATTGTGGTGGAATGTTTGATAGCTGTTGGTGTTGTAAAAAATTAGAATTTTGAAGAATTGAGTTGACTGAATAATTGGAACTTCTGGGATACATGAACGAGTTGAAGGCAGTCATTTCAAAGTTTTACATGTGCTCAATTAAAAATAAACTTAAACCTAAAGTTTAAAAAAATTAAACAACTGATCCTAATTTAAATATTTTATATTTATTTATCCAATAGAATAGTTTTGTAGCAAATTATGAGACGAGTAACAATAAACGAATTTTAGTTATCAACAACTGAGATAAAAATTTGTTGTTGGTTTTTGAGAATTGTTAAAATGGCACGCTCAAATATAAAGAATAGCATAAAACTAAATTATATGCTTTATATACAATGTAAAACATTTCAGATCAGCCATTCAATCGCCTTCATCGCTGGCTCCAGACCATCTGGCGCCCATTATATGTTGCAAGCTCCACCCACTCTTATTTTTCATTGGCTCGCAGTTCTAAATATGTTGGCCAATGAGCATCAGTTTTAAATAATTGACATTCAAAAGTTGTTGTGAAAGAAATCGCTTAGAGAAAATAAAATAGTAAAGTGCTGGTTTTGCCATGTGTTGTTTCGTGAGTGTTACTCTGTTCCTGTGTTTGTTTGTGCGGTTGAGTTTGGCAGTTCATATGTTTACCTATCTGTGTGTGCGTGCGTGTGTGTGATTGTGTGCGTGTGTGTGTGTAAGTGGATGTGTGTGTATGTTTGTGTGTGTGTGAGTGTATGTGATTGGATGTGTGTATATGTTATATGTTTCTCTCTGTGTGTGTGTGTGTGTGTGTGTGTGTGTGTGTGTGTGTGTGTGTGTGTGTGTGTGTGTGTGTGTGTGTGTGTGTGTAAGGGTGTGCATATGCTGACGAGTTTGAATGTTATGAATGTTCACATACTTTGATGTACTTCTATTATACGTTCGCGTCCCGCACATTTGTGCTGTATGATGATTGCCTGTTTATGCGACTGTGTGTTTGTTTTTGTTTCTGTAGATTTGTTTCCAATTGTGCTTTATAATTGTTCATCAAATTATTTTCATTCAGACTATTGTTAATTGCGCGCTTGCATATTTCACATCTAAATAATCAATATTTTTTCAAATATTTTTTAAACAATTAACCCCTATTAAAATTTACCGCTCAGATTATTATTAATTTTAATTCCAATCTTTTTCAATCAATATCGTCTGCGTTGGTAGCTTGTAAAGAAAAAACAGTGCAATTATGTACTGTACATCTTTATTCATAATAAGAAATGTGGATGATGACAAGCGATAATAATCACTGTTTATTGAATAAAAAACCTTTCTTAATTTTGTTCCCGGCACTGATTCGTAGAGAGAGAATTTTTTTTTATTTAACGATATAAACTCTAACAAAGTTATCCGATCATCAATGAAATGTCCTGTCGGATATATAGCTACAAATGCAGCCGCTCTGCATTTCGTAGTTCAACAACCAAAATAATTGTAATAAATTTTTTAAGAAGTGTATGTAATTTATTCTTTTAATTTTGTCTATAATTATTAATGTTGTTATTTGGATATAAGAGCTACGTGAATAATATTTTTCAAATGAAATTTAGTGCAAACGTTACTATATTCACCCCATAAAATCACTCCTCACCTCAGTGAGCCAAATATTTAATGTCAGATAAACAAATCTAAGGACATACATGGGTTTGACAGACTTCTGCTTTGATACTCTCAAGACGGTGTCAAAATTGAAATTGCTTTCAACAATTTTTATGGCGAACACTCACCACAAGACATTGAGCCACCGGTAATTGATTAATAAAATGTTGTTAAAAATTTGTTGAGAGTTATGGGTACATAATGAATAGCATTTCCTACACGTCTGTCGAATACATTGCCGGTGGAGAGAGTTGTACTCGGTTGGAAATTTTTACGTTCATTATCCCATATCCACAACTGTTAACAAATAGTTAAAACCATTTAAGTAGAAAATGAAATGAAGTTTTAACCATCATTTTGAGATTGAAATAAACTTTATAATTCAATAAATAAATTAATCAATTAATTACTAATTTGAATCATTTAATTACAGAAACTAATACAGAAATACTACATAATTATTATTTAACACATTTGAAAAAAAAATGGAGAAATGTTAAAATCAGCAAGAGGAAGATAGATTGAGAAGCGCCAAAAGAAAGGATGATTGGGAAGGATGAGAGGTCGAGATGAGATGCATTTACTTAGCAACGTCAGCATTCGTTAACTAATTACCATTGACATGTGTGACATAATGTTTCTCTCAGAGATGGCACTCATAGGGCAGAAGGTAGAAATTGAAATGCTTCACAGAATGAAGAGTGTTCTTAACCACATTATAGGAGATGTCTATACAACAACTTAGCCTTGGCTCATGTCTAAATAATTTTAAATTATTTATAAAACTCAAAAAAAAATTTTTTTTGAAAATATTAGCTGTCGACAGATGGACGGACGAACGTTCAGCTTCATTAATGAATGAATGAATATCTCTCATCAATTACACAGGTTTGAAAAGTTTATAATTGCAATATTATATATGCGTGTGTGTGTATATGTTTGTGTGTGTGTGCGTGCATGTGTGTGTGTGTGAGCGTGCGTGTGTGTGTGTGTGTGTGTGTGTGTTTGGTTTTGTTCATCTATCATAATGTATATTTATACTTTGTATATGCATACATATATATGTAATTATTTATTGTGCATGTCTCTTCCATATATCAAACAATGTAACGCATTGCATTGTGAGCTATCATACTTTGGCATCAGACAGTTAGTTCATGCTGTAGATCTGCAGACGTTTGTGCATAGATATTTACTTACGCAGACATGTTAATGTCTGTGAGGATATATATATATATATATATATATATATATATATATATATATTTACAATATTCTATAAATTCTACCGAATGTTTGGCGTTAATATGTTTGTAGTTCGTTTTTTCGATTTTTCTCACTAAAGTTTTTTGGTGAACGTTTAGTTTATTAAAATTCAAAATAAACTTTTTTTTCGAATTCATACAGCAAATAAGGCCAATTTCGATTCCGAATGAATCATCGT